ACTCTAGCTCCTCACACATTTCATTGTAATATTTTGCTTTGTCATTCCGTGCTGCCTTTTGGAATCTTCTGTTCAGCTCTTTAGTGTCTTGGATTCTTCCTTGTGCTTTGGCTTCTCTACGTTCCAGTGCAATCTTCAGAGTTTCTTCTGACATCCATTTTGGTCATTATAATGTGTTAGGTAGTGGAAATACATTACACATTATTTTCCTTCTTTCTTATTTAAGAATATTTTTTAACTGTTAGAGAGGACTTAATCCATTTTCCTTACTAGTGTTTCGTAGAAATTAGTGATTATACAAAGCCATTCTAAAGATATAAACTGACTTGATACTTCCAATCTGTGTTGTTTTGTAGTTACATCTGCCGATGCCACAGCTGGCATTGAGATTTGAAAAACAGAAGTGAGGACTGTATTGATATTTTGCAGCCGAGGCGGAGGGTTACGAATGCATGGACAGTTTTTGTTGTTGGGTTTTTCCAAAGACAGTTTTATGGACTCTCATTTTCAGCTGTTGTCCTTTTTCCTGGCCCTGCCCTTCAAGAGTATGCCCGACACAAGGTTGTGGCTTCCCTTTTTCTCAGATGTAGACTTCCTAAGACATCCGCATGAACCTGACATCAAGGTGTCCACTTCTGTGATGAAGGTGTTGATGTTGTCAGGTGCTGAAAATTGACCACCACTCAGTGACCCTGTGAACGACAGATCTGAACCTAGCCCCACCCTGCATCCTTCTTACGTTCTCCCGTGGTCACACCCTGTGTTGTAGTCACAGTCAGTCCATCCAGTCTTCTGTCACAGCATGATGGCTCTTCCCAAGACTGACCATCCACTTCTGAAACAACAGGCCTTGGAAAACTCTTCAGTGATGAGACAGCCAATTCGATTTCGCGGAAAACTCTGACATGTTCCTCAGCCAGCAATGGGCCATCCTGACGGGTCATCTCTTGTGCTTCTCCTACTCCTGTCTTCTGTATACTATATTTCTATGAAGTCTAATTCGTATTGTACCACTGAGCCAGGGTCCATAGCTGACCCTCCAAAGCCTTTTCAGAGGAAACAGTTGTGTGGGAGGAGATTGCCCATCTTTATCCCATGGAGCAGCTGGTGGATTCAAACTGTGTACCTTTGAGTTGACAGTGCAGTTCCTTACCACTAAGACACAAGGGCTTTCTCTGATTCATATGTTGTTGTTATGTGTCGTCAAGTCGCCTGTGACTCATAGTGACCCTATGTACAACAGCCCTAAACCCTGCTCTGTCCTGTGCCAATCTCACTGCCTCTGACACACCTGCCCCAATTACTCCAGTCACTGAATCACTCCACCTCATAGAGGGCCTTCCCCTCCTGCGCTGCCCCTCCACCCTCCCAAGCATGATGTCCCTCTCTAAGGACCGGTCCCTCCTTACAGCATGTCCAAAGTATGTCAGACGAAGCTTCAGAATCCTTGCCTCCAAGGAACAGCCTAGTTTTACCCTCTCTAGGACAAACCTTTTTGTTTTCCTAGCAGTCCATGGTACTCTCAATACTCTTCTCCAGCACCACAGCTCAAAAGCATCAACTCTCCTTCTATGCTCCCTAGTCATTGTCCAGCTCTCTGATGCATAGCAAGTGATTGCAAAGAC